AACTTTCCTACCCACCGTGCTACTGTACGATATGGTAGGGTATTATTCCCGATGGGCTTCTACTAATTCACTTTGACATTCCATCGCATTTCGCCCTCCGAAAACGGCTATTTTGATGTAAGCGCGCTGTTCAACACGGGTTACTTCCATCTCGCACGACACTCACCGACTGATTTCAGAGCCCTTGCTACCACTGAGCCATCTGCTGTTCTGCATACACACTATGCATGCAGAACTTCCCCACGACATATATACGTTTTGTGATCCGTTCACATATCTGCAAGAAAAAAATAGTTTCCATGACTTGCCCCAACCCTTGTATATATATATATATATAATTTCTGATCAATGACAATGATTACATGCATTTAATTCTTGTCTTTAATTTATTCCTTTTACAATTAAAATTTTGTTATTATTAATTCATCCCGTTAAAACATTTTTAACATTTACTTCAAGTACCTCAAAATATCTTCAACTATACTTCTAGTATGAATTCATCTTTTAAGATAATCCTACTATAATAAACTCAGAAATAAATAATAATTAATCATATTATTAGTAAAAAATTATCTTAACTCTGCTGGAATTGCACTAGTATACTTGTTTCGACTAAATGAATTTGAGATCATACAACAGAGGAGCTAGATATATACTCAACCTTTACTGGTAAAACCCTACAACAAGCCTTATTTCACATATTATTGTAATATCACAATCACTTTACAGTCAAAAGTCGTTAATTCGGACACCCCAATGAATCCGGACCTCAAAGCTACAAACTTTCTGTGCATGCGTCGCATTGACGCGCATGCGCGTAAGACCTTTACGGCTGCGAATATGCTTGTGCGCGTACGCAAAATATGTTTACGAGTGCGCGTTTAATGTATAATGGACGGTATAAGCTAAGCTAAAATTATCTAATTATCTATTTCAGTTAATGTTGCAGATTGCGTTGTTCCTTAATCTTCGAATTGGATCCGGCTTATTATTTTTTGCAGACTGTTAGAGCAATTTTATAAAAGTAAGCTTGAACTTTCGATTATGTCAAATAGAATTTCTGATATATATTTACTTAATATGTAAAGGATCTACAAAGCGAAAGTATGTTTCGAAGTTCATTAAACAAAAAGTGGAATTGCTGCAAAAAATGGATAAAGGCATATCCTTTGTTTATCTAAACTTTGTTTATCTTTAACGCCATGGTGCGCAATGAATTGGAAGTTGATCTGTCAGCACTATCCTTATCTTCAGGGCAGATGTTTTTATTTTATTTGGCTTATAATTCCTTACTAAATGTAGTATTTCATCTCGATGTACTCCGTCTTTGATATGATTTAAATCAAATTCCTCGTCATTATAATTCGCTTCCGATAGCGAAGAAAGTGACAGAGGTTATTTATTGAAAACGAAAATATTTCGATTGACAAATTAGTCGGTATTCTCGACACAGCAATTATAACAGGAACTTTGAACAAGAAATTATGTCTGTTTATAGAATTAAAGAGAATGTATTATCACATAAAAAACGAAGCAACTTAAACAACTTACATTGAAAGAAATGTTTTAATAAAGTAAACAAATAAATATTAAGCTGCTTTTTTTTTTTTTTTTGTTTTAAATTTTGATACCCTTTAGATCATAATTGTTCTCTATTTCATAAATTACGGTTTCATATTTTTAATTGTATAATTTCTGCATGCCATCTTACCAGATTTAAACTGATGATCGATAATCCGGAATCGCCAAAGTCCCGACGAATCTGCATTAATGACTTTTGACTGTATTAGTTGTATCATTAGTTGTATTATCACAATCATTAGTTGTGTTATTAGTTGTATGTGCCTTAGTTTTGAGTAGGTAAGCCATGCTGGTGTACCTACCACATATTGCATGATAATTGACTAAAATAAAATGAAAGCTTATCAGATAAACCATACTGCTACTGTTCTGTTTTGAGGACCGTAAGAAAATTGCAGCGAAAATGTATGCGCAAAAATGCCAAATCTAGCAAACGCGCCCATTTAGCAGCGCGCGAAATCTAGCGTACGCATTGATTTCAGATTGCATAAGTTTATATAGTTCTATATTTCTTAAGACGCCATTGAAATACTAGTTTAATTTTTAAATCCTTTTTTGATATCCTATGGATTTAACATTTTGGGAATTGCCCATGATGAAAAGTCGGCAATAGAATTTTGGGTAAAGTGCAGAATCACTCACTGCTTGACACGTTTTTAAAATTGCACATACTCGTATCCATGTGCACATCGACCTATTTTCACTTAAAAACAAATCCCAGAATTGCACAAAAATGGCACTGCGCACACCCTTGACTTTATCTATGTACACATCGACCTATTTTCATTTAAAGAGTAAAAGAAAATTGACAAAAATCCAATTGTTTTTACCCTTGTAAAAAGCGGCAAACAAATAAGTGTGCGATTCTGCACCGAGAATATTTTCAAAGAAAAGGCATCACTCATTATAGAAAATTACGTTTGAACAACCAACGAGGTGAAATTATGCTTTAGCGATAAGTTGGTAGCGAAATAGCAATGCAGGCATCCATTCAGTTATGTTTAGCAATTTTTATATAAATTATAATAATGATCTGAAATAGTTATTTACTCTTATGCTTCCATTCAGTCATGTTAGCCTTTTTCCATAAATTATAATAATAAAATAGATATATGAATTAACCTCATCTAAATTGAAACATCAATCTTAGATAGTTATTTACTATTATACTTCCTTTCTTGCCGCAATTCTTTGTGGCAGCATTGGCATCAACGATAATTTGGCGATTTTTTACGGCCCTCGAAACAGATAGTACCGCCACACGACACTGTAGCAAAGCATTCTGAAACATGACACTTAATAGTTATTTATTCAGTAATTTACTCCCATATTGTTGTAATCATCATTGTTAATATTTAATAGCACTTGCAGCATAACTATAAACACTAATAAATAAATAAATAAACATTTTACTGTGAATTCTCCAAAAACGATCTCTGCTCATTTCTGATGGATGTTATTTTTATGGATTCATATCACGATCGTATACAGACAGATATATACATATAGTACAGACTGATTGTCATGCTTTATCAAGCTGTAATCTTCTCATATGAAGTTTATCTCATTCGTCCAGAATTTGTAAAGGAACAGAATGTGGTTTGCTTCAATTCCTCCATTTTTTGTAGTTCATGCTGAAAAATTCTATTGATAATGAGAATCAATGGGTGTAAAATATTTGTAAGGCCACCAGATATCACTGAGACAGCGATGTTAAGCTTTTTTGCTTTGGATCTTAGTGTCTCCACTAAATGGGATCACATTGAATCCAGAACAATAAATACCCGGGATTGGAAAAAGCGCCTTTCCTTTTTCGATAAAATTCTCTTGTCCAAAACAACTGACTTCTTTGCACATCCATCCTTTTATGTTGGTGTAAATAATGATCGCTTTATGGTAGTTTCCTTTTGAAACTGTTTTTCTTTTGGAAAATATCAAAAGGTTAACTTCTCCCCATTGGTGTCACAACCCAAAACACAAGTTTGTTCAATCCTGGCTGTTATTGCAGAAATAGTTTTACCTAATGAATAATCAGTTCTGCTTGGAGGACAGTCAAATGTAATGGGCACTTTATCTGTATCAATTATTTGCCCTCTGTAAAATTTTATTCATTAATTTTCTTAGATGGGTACTTCAGAAAAGGTTTTTTTTTTTTTTTTTTTTTTTTTTTTTTAACACTAGTATACAGGAAGCTTTGTCCAACTATTGTTTTGGTTCTGACGGATAATTTCTTTCATTTTAGAACCTGAAACATCAATTAGGCCCATTTGTTAAGTGCTTAAAGGCAAATTCTAACTCTTAACACTGATAATCCTTTTTCTGTCAGCTCCATTGTCCATTTCTTGGGATTGACTTCCAACAGGCCGGGCTATGATACCAGTCTAACAAGATCTTTTATTCTAAGGCATTTTCTCTCTTTTTGTTTCGACTTCCACTGCTATAAATGAACCTCTGTGTTGTCTGCAGCTATTGCTATAACACTGCTACCTCACCTTTTGTCACACATGCAACTAATATCTTCAGATTTATCGACTAAGTTGTGCATAGTTTGCTTTTAATGTGGATTGTGCATAAATAATGGATCAAATGAAATTTGCTTCTGCAGCATCTCAGTCTTTTCTATAATGCAGTTTTGTTAGCTCATGCTGCTTCTATGATTTTGTTATTCTTCTTGAAATGCATAACTAGTGCAGGGAGGAAAAAATAAGAAGAATGCATGTTACGTCTGAGTATTGTTGTTATCTCGATTTTTGAAGGCAAAGACAGTGAAGGGCATCAGATGGCATTTCAAATCTCATGCAGCTGTCTTACCTATGAAACTATTCAGATAGTCAATCAAATGCATTGTATAGCTTGCATCTCATCATTTAAATTCCATATCTGTTGTTATTTTTTATGCACTGTTCTGTTTTGCTGTTTACTATTTTTATGATAAATCTGAATTGTGCTATAAAATTATATTGATACATAATACCATTTTTAAGTACTTCAGATGTATTATTGGAAAAATGAATCCATGTACTAAAAAAACATACTTTTGCTGTTTTAATTAATTATGTATGTTTACATTTGTTTTGTATGCTTTTTTAGATCTATCATTGTTGCTAATGGATCAGATATAAAAGTCTTCAGCATTCAAAGTGGAGAATGTATTCAAACTCTGAGGTATCACAAAAGGCCTGTTGTCAGTCTTCAAGAGTGTAAAAAGAATGTTCTGCAGGTAAATGTTTTAGAAAATTGTATCCTTCTTTTTAAATTAGTCTTTTTTTTTTATTTTGAAAAACTTAAACAGCAGTGTAGAATAAAAAATAAATGATTTAAATTTTTTTTAAAGTATTTTCCAGTGTAAAAAATTTTTTTATATTTTTCTATTAAATTTATTGTATGATTTTTTTCCATTAGGAGGAGCAAATCTTGTGAAATGGTAGTTATTAATATCATATAATTTTTTTTTCATGCATTTAATGCACTAACTGCTTGTATGGCTAGCCAGAAGATACATTTTAAACATACAAGGTGCACCCAATTTAATCACTGTGTCTGGCAGGAGTCATAGGCTCACAGAGCAGAGAGTCAAAAGGGGGACCAGTTGTTGCACCCATAATTGGAGGGTTGAAGCCACCTATCCTTCAGGATAGCACTAGCCTCCTCTTCAGATATCTGGAATCGGGTCCATGTATTTTACACCTCCAGAGCCAAGACTATTAGAGTGCAGATTTCAGCAAGCACATTAAATGGCTTTGGAGGCACCATTGGAGTAGTTATGCGGTTCTTCAAAATGGCAGAAGAAACATAGGGGTACAGCAGAACATCATTGAAGTCATACTTAACAGAGTTTGTGTTGCAGCAAAACTTAATAGCTTGTTTAAAAAAAAAAAAAAAAAAAAAAAAAAAAAACTTTTGAAGCTTTCAAGCATTTTCCACCTGAAATAAAGAAAAACTAATTGTATCAAATTAATGCCAAAGTTAGCTTTATTTATTACCCATTTTCAAAGTGTGCGTACATATTTAAAGCTTAATTATTAATTTAAATATTGAAAGTTTAATTTAATAATAATGCATTGCATAAATATATTTCTACAATTTAAAATATAGTAAGGAAGTCAATTGAAATTTTTTAGATATAAATTTAGCAAGTCAATAAAATAATTTGCCTTTCATGTCAAGTCCGTTACCTTGAGATTATTTTACCCGCAATTAGTTTGTAAATCTGCCTAAAGAGGGTAGTACATATTGAAAGTAGTCAAGCTTAACTTGACTAATTTATCTCTATCACTGATGAATTGAAAAAATTCGAATGTACACAAGAAATATTTTCAGTCTAAAATCTAAAGGTTGGTATTTGCAAGAAATCTCTGTTACACTCTGTAATTCAAACATGTTGATAACTACATATTAAATTTTCAGACTGCTATGTATTTCATTTATTTCAAATAATTTTATTGTTTTGAATTTTCATTAAGTAACCAATTTTTAAATCAACTAATTATGAAAATTTCAAAAAGGGGAGGGGTCAAAATCTAAGCATAAGAAATGGTAATCTATTATCTTTTATTTACTTATTAAATTGTTTAACAAAGTTTATTAACTTTTTTTTAAATAGATATGTTTGTATGCAAATACTTTATTATTTCTTCAACTTTTACCTACAACATCTCATAGCATTTTGATTTGATAAAGTTTGTAACCTTGAAGAAAAATTATTATTCTCTTGTTGATAAATTGGAGATGCTCATCAGTTAGTCTGGTTCTTTTCTGAAACATTAATTTTCAACTTCAGAAGAAAAGCTGTTCACATATAAATGTACTCCGAATTATTCTTATCTAAAAAATACATGACCAAGGGTATTTATCTTTTCACAGGTTTGTATGAAATTTTATCAAATGTGTATTTTTAGACCTTTGAATAAAATTTATATTACAGAGTAATTAATTAGCTCCATTTGTAGATTTTCTGGGATGTTATACATGTCCATTTTTGGTAACGAGAATAATGTAAAATTGGACTCCAAATCAAATCATTTATTAAAATCTTAAGCATTTTCTTAATATTCTTGCAAAATTGTTAATTAGTTTTGGAAAAATATTTTTGCGGGCCATTTAAAGCTGCTTTGGATGTTGCATGCAGCCCGCTGGTTTGCCAGTTTGAGACCATTGCATTAAGACATGTATAAAACTTAAGTTTGAATTTGCTACGTGGAAATTATAGTAGAATTGTTACATATATCACATGATTTTATAAAGAACAACATTATTTCAGTGTTTTTTTTTTTTTTTTTTTCCTTCTTTTTTTTGAAATAGATTCTTAGTTGTTGTGAAGGAGGAACTGTCGTTCGATGGGATTACTCTGAAGGAAAGCTACTTCAAGTACAAAATGTTTCTTTGTTTTATACAAATTAATAGAATCATAAAAATGCAATCTAATTTGGTTATATTAATCTAAGATCATAGAATTTTATTTTTGTTTACATATTTTGTATTTAGAGCATTTTGTGTATCATTTATCAGAGTACAAAAAAGTCTGTATTGCTTTTTATCAAAAAATTGGGCATTTATTGTGAAAGAATGACATGCTATGTCTTATTTAAAGTAGCCATTGCTAGCCACTACTTTTTCCCATCTTTCTGGCAGCAATTTTTGGTATCATATGATGTGAAGTGCTGCTTGGATACACCATGCATCATCAATCAAAACGAGTAGTAATCAGAAAGAGCAATGTCTAGTGAGTACGAGGGAAGGGGGGAACTTCCCATTTGAGTGTTTCCGATTAGGTTTTGACCAGTGCCACAACATATGGATGAGCGCTAACTTGTAGAAAATAATTTTTTCATGTCCGGAGTAGTAGTGGGTGCATTTTTCTTCGAGTGCTTGCTTCAATGTCATCAGTTCTGTTCAAGTCCCAGTAATTGTTTAGAGAGTCCCAGTAATTGTTTCGTTTGGTTTGAGCAACTCATAATACTGGACACAAAGTTGATCCCACCATTACACAGTATGATTTTTTTCCCCATGAATATTTGGCTTGGTTATCAGTGTTGAAGCATGGCCAGGCAGTCCCCATGATTTCTTCCTTGGGCTATAATAGTGGATCCATTTTTTATCACTATTGACTATGCGAAAAAATGCATTTTACAATGCAAAAAAAATTTCGTTTATACTTGGAAAGCAGTATTTCACTTGTAAAGAATTGATGTTCAACGTTTCTCGGCTTCAGTTCATATGGAACCCAAATGTGTTTCTTCTGAATCATTCCCAATGATTTTAAATGATGTGAAATTCCTTTTTGAGGCAATCCTAATGTAATTCCAAGTTCTACTTGCATTTGGCACCAATCTTCATCCAATAAAGCTTCCACTTCCGCATCTTCATACATTTTCATTCTTCCACTCTGTTCTTTGTCTTTGACATCAAATTCACCATTCTTAAACTTTTAAAACCACTATGACAATTTCTCTCACTTAAGGTAGCCTCAACATATACTTCTACAAGGAATAGATGCAGTTGAGCTGCAGATTTCTTCAAATTAAAGAAATAAATCAAAAGTTCCTTCGGCTCAAAACTCAACATTTTTGGCATGAAAAAATTATATGTAGCTGATACAGAATCGCTAATATTTCAAGGATTTTTGTTAGCAGTTGTCCAACCTTATGATATGATGGTTTACATCAGACAATTTTAACCATAATTTACTGGTGCTATTTTTTGTCAAATGCAAGAGACTTATTTGTACTCCCAATATATCAGGGTATTTTTATGTCTCTGAAACTGATAGAAGAAATTAAACTCCTGGTGATAATGATTGTTCAAATTCAGCAAATGATAAAAATATTAAAATATGATATTTATTTAGTATAAATTAAACCTGAAATAAAATTATTGAGGATGTTTGAAATATAACTTTACTTGAAACATAAATAGCATAGCCTAGTGATAACAACATCTCTAACTAAACAAAGGAAAAATTTAGATAACCTTTTTGATTAATAATCAAATTTAAAATTTTCATGCTCATGAGTCACATAGGTTTGGTATTTGGATATAACATAGTTAATTTACAGTTTGGCTGCAGGTAGCAACTGTACTGAAAAATTTTCTCACAAGAAGTCTCAGAATTTATAAGAAAATCTATAGTTTTCAAAGTGTTTATCTTTAAATTTTCATTAAATTACATTTGCTTTTCTTTCAATTCCAGGATTACTGATTCTTAAGAGAAATTTATAAAGAAACTAGAATTAAAAAATAATAAATTAATATGTGTGTTTCTGTTCATCTGACTTATGATTTCCCAATTTTTTTTCCTTAAAACTATGTAAGCAAATTAGAGTCTTATGATACAGAACTAATGTTGCTATGAATATGAAGTATGAGAATAATTAATGATGTAATGAATCTTAAATAATTACATTTATGTTAAATTTTAATGAAGGTTCATAGAATAAACTGACATTAAGCAAGATCAAAGGTTGCTTTTCTGTTAGGTGTAATCTAATGCTGTTTGATCTGTCTGCGATGGCATAAAAATTATATGAAAAATACAAGATATTATTAAAACCTTAAATTTCACAAACCTACGGATTTTCAAATTATTTATCTAGCAGTGTTACAGTATTTATATTGCTACAAAGTTTTATCTTAATAATTAAGTTTTCTCTTTTTTTTATATAGAAGATAATTTACAGACTGGGAAATTCAGCAGCGATTTTGCATTGAATCACTCTGAATCGCCATTTCACTTTTCAAACTTTCCACAAAATATTAACGCCCAGTAATATATTTGAAGAAATTAAATAATGAAGAATCTGCATAAATGTGTGTATGTTTCTTGCATTGTGATAAAACAATGGTACCTAGAGCCATCAAATTTTAAATGATGTAATCCTACTTTGAATATGGGCATCTGGAAGCCCAAATTTTTGATTTGTTTTATTCTTGATTCCATATTTTGTAAAACTTTAACGAATTTTTGATTAACAAACTTGAGGATTTCAAAGCAAGCAATGGCACCGTTGCACAGAAAAAACATTTTTATCTCCAACGCGTGAGAATTTGTATCAGAAATTCTAAAGATATGCTCAATTTAAAATTATTTTGTGATATTGCTCTTGATCTGAATTTTATGGTTTAAGTGTGAAGAACATGATTTTTAATAAATAAAGGTAAAACACAAAATATATATATATGAAAAAAAAAAAGGCCATTTGGACGTAATTTAAAATCTGAAACCTTCAGGGTTTTTTTTATTTTTGTTTTTGGTATTATAATCGTTTTTATTTTTGCAAACGTAAGCAGATTTTTTACATACAAAATCACAGATTCTAATTATGCAAAAGTTTGGTTTTAATTAATGTGATGGCTACACTTGATGTATTAAAGCAATTTTTAAATATTTGGCATAAGATTGCTTAGTTTAATTTTTAACACACCGTGTTTGAAAATACTCAACCTCTTTCTAGTTTTCCATTCCAGTTTTGCATTCTTTATAATTTTTCGATTGTGTTTTCTTGTGTTCTTGCATTTTACATTTTGACTGCACTTTTTGCCTAAAAATTTGTATACCGGGGGGCCATAATTAAACTCACAGTGTTCTGTAGCGCGATCTATTTGAAAGAATGACGCCACATTTTGTAGGAAGATTAAACAAGATGGGGGACGAAGGATTCCGCGAAAAAAAAACAAAATTAGTTCCAAAAGTCACCGCTAGGGGAATATTTGGCACTGTGTAATAGAAAAATAGAGTGTTAACAAATGCAAATCAATACAGAAATTACTTTTTATTTTGCATTCAAATGAGGTTCGATGTGGCTGCCATTGTTGTGGACCACATATTGCATTCTGTGCACAGTATGCACAACAGCAGAAAGTAACATGTCTGCAGGAATCTCCCGTACAGTCCGTGATATGTTATCCTTCAACGTAGTCTGGTCCTGGACCACTTCTTGTATACTTTGACCTTGATAGACTTAAGGTCACCCCATAGCCAGAAGTCGCATGGGGCAAGATCAGGCGAACTGAGGTGGTCATGTAGTTGCAAAGTAGCGGCTAATGTCTCTTTCTGTTTTGAATTTCTGTCGTATCATCTGTTGCACCCGTACAGCGAACGTGTGGAGGGACTCCATTTTGCATAAAAATGATTTCCCCCAGGCATTGTCTTTGCTGAAGTGCCAGAATGACAAGCTGTTCAACATGGGCGATATTTCTCTCCGGTACAGAACAGGTTTGTGGTCCTGTCGGAGTAGTTCTCAAGAAGAATGGACCTACGGTAAATTCCGCTGTGAACCCACACCAAACAGTTTACCTTTGGTGAAAGTAAGGGAATTGCTGTGACTGATGTGGTGGTTTGTCATCTCAACTTCGGCAGTTTTGGGTATTCACAGTTCCTTCAGGTAAAAGTGGTCCTGTCTCCCCATAGAGATTTCCACGGCCGAGCCATCCACCTCCATTCTGGCAAGAAAGGTGAGAGCAAAAGTCAATCGCTTATCATCGTCGGGGTACACTAACTCCTGTACACGGCTGATCTTGTACGGATAGAAGTTGATAATCTTTCGTAAGATTTTCCATACCGTACTGTAAGGCAGATCCATATTCCAAGCTACTCCATGAGCGCTAGAGGTGGCAGCAATATTGCCTGGTCCTCTGTCGACAATCGCCGTGGCAACTGCTTCGATTGTATCCTGTGGTACAGGTTTTTCTTCCTTTGCCTGACTGAACCTCAGAGAATCTGTTTTCTCAAACGTCACACCTGCTTTAGCCATTAACTGACACAGGACTGTTACCTTTACGCATTTTTTTTTTTTTTTTTTGTGCGTTCTAAAGCACGAAGAGCGGCTGACATTCCCACTGGTTGAGGTAAAAGAATTTAACCAATAACGCACGCTCGCTAAAGAAGGAGACATGCATATAAACTTTCAATCCGATTGATTCGAAACGTAACACATTGCCTTTAAAACCCAAGCAGTGGCACTGTGAATGGATGTAACCTGAAATTTGATAAAGAACTGCTCATCATACGTGATATTGCAGATCACGAGACTTTATCGGTGTTTATGTAGATTTTACACTTTTTAAAAGTGTTTGCCATGTTGCCCTTGACTAATCAGAAATGTGCATAATAAAAGGTAATTTTTATTCTGTATTAATTTACATTTGTTAACACTGTATTTTCTGTTACACAGCGCCAAATATTCCCCTAGCGTGGACTTATTGAACTAATTTGTTTTTCCGCGGAATCCTTCGTCCCCCGTCTTGTTTAACCTTCCTACAAAATGTGGCGTCATTCTCGCAAATAGATCGTGCTACAGAACACTGTGAGCACTGTCAGTTTAATTATGCCCCCTGGTATTTAAAAAATATATATAATTAAATTTTAAAAC